GAAAATTTGATGTTTTTTATGCCTTCAACAATGTCTTCCTCTGAAAGAGCTAAATATCCAAGATTAAAAGTAGTACTTTCGGTACAATAATCGTAAGAATGTAAACTAGCATTCTCAGCATCGAGTATATCCTCGTCCGAGATGAAATTAGCCGCAAAAAAATCTGCAAAAAGATTGGCAGCATCCGAAATGGAGTTTGCTGTATTCCCATTGTAAAAAACAGACCTGGGAATATCCGAAACCCCCTTTTTAGACTTGATATAGCGCCAGAAACATTTTGGGTTACTTTTTATATTAGCTTCAAAGTTACCTATGTAGTTATTGTAACGAGCTTTATTTAGCTTGGCGAATTGGTTTTTGTAAGTAGAATATAACTCAAAATGTTTTAGATCATTGGTTAATCTGAACTTTTTAAAAAACTTATTTCTCAAGTTCTTTAACCGCTTTAGTTCCTGAGAGAACCACGGGAGCTTATACGGTAGTTTTTTTAAAATTGGTACATTATCTTTACAGCAATCATAAATTATATTTTTGAACACATAGTAGCAAGAAGAAGCATCATCAGAGCCAAGCATATCATCCCAATTAATATCAGCGAAAATTCCATCTAAAAATGAAAAGTCACAAAGTTTATAGTTGAAAGAGATTTTCTGAGTAACATTTGGGCACTCGAAGTATTCAAATAAGTCAATCTCGAGCATTAATGGAGAGTGATGCATGTTTGGCTGCGATAAACAAGATGGAGCATGATACAAATTAAATTTTACATTGTGGCTTATAAAAATAAGGTCTAGTAGACGATTCAGTTTATTGTAGAAGCAATTTATCTGCGATAAACCACAACCCAAAAAATTGTCAATGAAATAAGTCTCTAAGGGGCTGGCTAGAATGGTCGGAGTAAGATAAATATTATTGTCTAAGTGTGTCCAGGAGATATTGTTTAGATTAAAATCCCCCCAGTACGCACAGCTGATGTTCTCCGATTTTGTTGTGAAGTGACATTACGTTATCGACATGTGATTTATAGATAGCTTCACTGCTAGCAGGAGGAATATATGATGCGCATAAATAGAGCATCCCAGAAACACATTGGACCCGCACACATAATTGGTCCAATAAAGAGTCATTGAACTCCAGTACAATAAGCGACGCGTTGAGCTCCCGACGGGAAGCA